AAGCTCCACAATGTTCCTCTCTTCATGACAACCTTAGTGTAAGGCAGAGCAGAATGGGCAGAGCGGGACAGAACTTCCACTTCCACAGCACATGCGGCGTAAATCTCAACCCTTCAGTCCACCGTCACTCCTATCCCAGGAGAAAAGCACTGAGAGCAGTTAGGGTACAGACAGAGGAGAAGCAGTAACCGTTCCACTCCTTCGGGCTGGAGTTTCATTTCAGATAGTAACTTACAGTTACGAATAGCGAGAAAGCAAGGCACACGGGCAGGGGTAGCAGGAGGCTGAACACCGAGGAGGTTTGGGTCTCAATAAAGAGACGGTTCTGTAGCTGTTGGAGAACTCAGCTCTGCACACTACTTTCTTGGGAAAGAGGAAAACTCCTGAACTTGCTGGAACCTGACCAAAATCCCAATCACAGCAGCCCCTGGGACTCACTTGGGAAGGCGGGGCTGCACGCACGGTCGCCACCCGCACAGACAAAATCCATCGCGGCTCGAGACAGTCCGACAAAATATTAACCGCGGAGCGGAAAGCTGCTTTTACTCTCGAGTTCAATGCATTCACGTCAGAGAGCAAGAGAAACCTCCCCGAGATTATTACCGCTTAGTTCAGTTTTGAAGTAACAGTGGGGTCACTTTTGAGAACATGGGGGCGAGGGGGATGTTTACCCCTGGTCACATCCACACGGGCCAGCGCCCACTTCCGAGCCAGGACAAACGCACAGCACCAGACCCCAGCCCGGCTAGGGGCAGCCCGCGGCCACCAGGAGAGCTCTCCGGGGCTTCTTAAAAGCAAAGCTGGCCTGTCGGCACCCTGCAGGGGTGGTTCGGCTCTGGAAACAACGCCGCCTTCGTTTGGGAAAAAAAAAAAGCAAAACTGTACCCTTCGAGCCCGCAGCGTTTCTCAACCTGTGGGTCGCGACCCCTTTGGCGGAGGAACGACCCTTTCACAGGGGTCGCCTAGGACCATCCTGCCTATCAGCTATTTACATGACGATTCAGAACAGTAGCAACATTACCGTTATGAAGTAGCAACGAAAATAATTTTACGGTTGGGCCACCACAGGAGGAACTGTATTTAAAGGGCCAGGAGGTTGAGAACCACTGCTTCAAGGGATCCTAAACCTGTCACCTCATGGCGGGGAGGGAAGCCCCCGCGGCAAGCGGCGCCTGACACGCCACGGGCGGCCTCCTTTCCCCGGGTGGAAACGGGAGAGGCAGAGCTGCACCGCCGGGCTGGAGCCGCGGGGAGGGAGAGTTCCGCGCCGGCATGACAAACTCCACGGCACTGAATTCTTCTCCCTAGTAGGGCACGGAGCGTGTGGAAGATGGCCAGGGCGCGTGGGAAGGGAGATGACCTATTTTCAACCACTGTTTTTATTAACTGGAAAGTGAGGGAGAGACGCGGGGGGTCTGGTCCCCGGGCGCCGGGCCGGCCGGCCCCTGAGGTCGGGAGAGAGAGGAACAGAAAAGCCGCCCAGCCTTCACCCCAGCAGCCGGGGGACGACGGGAAGGAAGGAAGCGAGAGCGAGAGCCGGACGCACGCAGAGCCCAGCCGCCCGGCGCGAGCGAGAGGGGCCTGGGCCCCACCCGGTGGGCGGAGAGGGGCCGGGCGCTCCGGCACCTGCTGCCGCCTCGGGGGGCGGGCGGAGCGGGGACGGCAGCGTGAGGCGCCGGGGAACGACGCGGGGCAGCGGCGAGCGCGCCCAGGCCCCGGCAGGGCCGGAGGGCAAAGGCCAAGCGGCGCCCTCCGACCCCGCCGGAACCCCGCGCCCGCCCGCCCCTCCAGGACCGACGGCGCACACCACCGCCCCGGCACCCCGGGCCCAGAGCTGCGAGCGAGGCGCGGGCTGGACCTCGGCCGAGGGACGCCGGCCGGGGTGGGAGGCAGCCTCGCAGCACTCGGGAGCGACCGCGGGAGTCTGCCCCGCGGCGGGTCGTGCGCGCGGAGGGGACGCCGCCGGCACTCACCTGCCCGCTGGCCCCTTCACGCAGCGGCACCGGTGCCACACTCCGGCCCAAACCCACCGTCCACCTCGACCAAGCCCCAGGCAGCGGCGGCGACAGAGACGGCGGCAGCGGCAGCCGGACGGGAGGGGCGGGACGGCGGCTTGAGACAGCCCCGCCGCCGCGGTCCAACCCGGCTCCGCCCGCCCCCAGGCCCCGCCCCAGGCCGCCGCCGCCGCCGCTCATTGGCCCAAAGCTGAACGCATGGGCGCGGTTCCGCCCCATCGCTCCCCTACCGTTTAGCTCGGGCTCCTCCCCAGCCATTGGGCCTGCCGGCTCCTGGAGCCTCAACTGTCGGCACAGCCCCCTCCGCTCCGGGGCCACAATTGGTGGAACTGTGCCACGCCCGGACGCTGATTGGAAGACTGGCTCTTGGGGCCCCTCCTCTCGCGCCCAAATTCCGTTAGCATGTTCGGTTGCTGCCGAACTTCCTTAGCCCCGGGAGCGGGACCAACGGGAGTGGCCCTCTGACAGGCTCCTCCTCCTGCGGGGAGGGGCCTGAAAATGACTGGCTGTTCTTTCCTCCGTTGAGAGCTCTGCTTTCTTCTGATTGGTTGACAGGTGCCTCCGTGTTTTCCGGCGCCGACGCGGCGCAATGACGTACTCCCCGACATCCTACGTCCAAAATGGCCGCGGTCGGCAAGGAGAGACGTCGCTGAGGGGCTTACCGGAGGCAAGGGGTGAGTAACCGACTGACCGCGGGCAGCACCACCCCCCTCCCGCGTGCCTAAAGGTCTGAGTAGGGCAGGGCCAGCTGCCTCCACCCCCTAGTGGAGTCTATCGTCCCGGATCCCGCCTCCCCTCGCTGCCCCCTATCAGCTCGAAGTTAGCGGGCGATGGCGGGGCTGCGGGACGGAATTCGGGAGAGGGTTTTGAGGCGCAAGAGCGGAGGAGAAAGGCCCTCGCGCGGCCTAGCACAGGGTAGCGGGCCTCGCCCAGAGCGACGGCTAAGGTTTGGGGACTTCGTAGCTGGTGGGGAGAAGGGGCGGGGTCTTAGCACGCGCGCGCTCCCGCAGCCCCGGACTGCCCGCATCTTCCCAGCTCCTTGGGGGTCTCCGTCCCAACTTGGCCCGGCTGAGGCCCGGGCGCCGCTCACACCGGGGTGCTCCGACCCGGGGGTCTGGAGAGGAAGGAGGACCAGGCACTTCCGCGTCCGGAGTCGTTCTCGCGGAGACCTGGTTCTTGCGGACCCTGTCCTGGGCCGGTGCGGTTGGGTCCCGAAGGAGATGTTCTTTGGGGAGTTGAGGCGTCCGTGCAGAGGTCCTCCAGCTGTTCTCACCAGCACAGAGCGCGGCGGTCGGCTGCGCTCCCTAAAATGTGGGTTGCCGGTTCGATGGAGCTTTCGCTCCCTCCACCCGACGTTAGGCGCGGCTTCCACCAGTAAGAGCAGCTCCTTGCGCGTGGCCCTTCTGTGTTTGTAAGGTGAGCCTGCTGGTGTCTGCGTTTCTCCCTCGGACGCGCTCTGGAGAGGGGCCCAGCACAGCGCCCTGCAGTTGCAGGCGCTCGTTAGAGCAGCGGTTCTCAACCTGTGGGTCGCGACCCTTTTGGGGGTCGCCTAAGACCATCGGAAAACACATATATAATTACATATTGTTTTCGTGATTAATCACTATGCTTTCATTATGTTCAATTTGAAACAATGAAAATACGTCCTGCATATCAGATATTTACATTACAATTCATAACAGTAGCAACATTACAGTTGCTACTGTAGCAACTGTAATGAAGTAGCAACGAAAATAATTTTATGGTTGGGGGTCACCACAGCATGAGGAACTGTATTAAAGGGTCGCGGCATGAGGAAGGTTGAGAACCACTGCGTTAGAGGTTTGTGCGAACGGGGTAGAAGGAGAGATCCTCCGGGGCTTGGGGTCCCATCCTGGAACCCTGCGTGGCGTACATAGAGCACGTGCTCTATATTGCAGAATGAAGAGTGAACGGGTGAGTGGTAGACATTTCGGCTAAGATTGTATTATTAGAATTCTTGCCTATTAAGTAATTTTGACTGTAAATTACGTAATTATCCAGGACTCTGTTTTTTGTATTTGTGTGTGTGTGTGTGTGTGTGTGTGTGTGTGTGTGTGTTTCAGAATGACAACCACAGGTATCTAATTTTGGGTGTTATTTTCTTTTGTCTCATTTTGATTATATATATTTTTCAAACATATTAGCTGACTTGTGCATAAGCATGTTCAACGTTTGTTTCATTTTAGAAATGGAGATTGCACCAACAAGCAATAATGAAATGTTATAATTGTTGAGATGCTTACATGTTATTTTATTTTAAGCATATTTTTATTGATTTCAGAGAGGAAGGGAGAGGGAGAGATAGAAACACCAATGATGAGAGAGAAACATCGATTGGCCGCCTCCTGGACGCCCCCGCCCCCCTGAGGATGGAGCCTGCAACCCAGGCATGTGCCCCTGATGGAATCAAACCCAGGACCTTTCAGTCCGCAGGCCCATGCTCCACCCACCCAGCCAAACCACCTAGGGCAAGATGCTTACATTTTAAATGCCACTTTCAAAAAATTGAATATCATAAAGAAAAAAATGGTCATAGTTTTGGCCTACAAAATGAGCTACAGTCGTGCACCCCATAGTGACATTTTGGTCGAAGATGGAACACATATACAGGTGGTCCGTAAGATTGTAAAATTCCCGTTGCTAGTGACCCTGTAGCTGGCATAATGTCATAGTGCAAGTTCAGTGTTGGTAGTGATGCTGGTGTAAACAAATCTGAACTGAAAGTCATATAAAAGTGTAGCATGTACAATTATGTACAGTATGTAATACTTGCTAATGATAATAAATGACTATGTTACTAGTTTATGTATTTACTGTTGTGGAAGCTAAAAGAATTAATACTTTCCCTCCCACCTTCTAAGTTCTTATAGCTGGGCCAAAAATTAAATGAACAGAGACAAATTAACAGGAGAAGGTAAAAATTTTAATACATGCATATGGGGAATTCACTCACATAGGCATGAAAATTCCAGAGATGGGGAGGCAACATTGGGGAAAATGTGGGGACAAGATACTAGATTTCAGAAGTGAGAATGGGCTGAGGAAGAGCAGAACATACATGGCAGGCAGGAAAATCCTTGTGGGTGACTCAAAAACAGTGGGACACGGGGTACCTAGCTTACAGACCCTGCCCAAAGCCTCTTATTTACCATGTTCAGTTCAGATTGGATTAAGGCGACATCCTAATCCTCCTTCCTTCCTGAAGCAGGTTTTTCTGTCTGAGTCTCTTGGGCAGGAGAGGGAGAAGGGACAGAGGTTCTTTCTTGAGTCCTGTTCCTTAATAACCAGCTTAGAACCTATGTCCCAAAGAAGGCAGCTTCAGTGTGACAAAACTGTGGTTTCCTTCACTATACTCTGCTTTTACTCTACGTTAGATGTACTGTTTCTCGTAAAAGGTAATGTATGTTAGGTTACACTGGCAGCAGCCTCATACATCTCGTGTTGACTGTGTCTCTTGATTGAATCATTTTCCTTCAAAGTACAATTAATGATAGAAAACTGGAGTCTTATAAATATCTCAGACCTGTTAGATGGCTCTCAGATGCTACAGTTTTTTAATAATCTATTTAAGAATCTTGTCAGACAGCAAAAAGAGTTTGTGAATACTTGGATGCTCAAACCAGCAGAGCCTCAGGTCACTGAACATCATCTCTTCCTATCCTGGTCAGCACAGGTAAATATGTACACTGGATGAGGTCTAATTAGATGGATTTATATCCATTCAAGTTACCAAACCTAGAGTGTTGGTTCATGAGTTGATGTCAGCCTGAATGAAGAGAGGTCTTTAGAGATAGACTACAGATCTCTGGTCTTGCTCTTTTTCTGATTAGCACTTTTTTATTACCAAATTTGAATATGTGAGGCATGCTTCTCAAATTAATAAATGTACTCAAAACCTGTAGTTAACATGTTAAATGACACAGCAAGTTTTTAAAGGCTAAAATAATAGGCCCAAACTAACAAGATACAGATTTACCAGGAATGATTAAATGTACAGAAACCCAGTTGTCCACGCTGGAGATGAAGAAGGCCTGCCTTGACAAAAATGGTTCTAGGGCATAATGTTATGTTTATAGAGGAAGTTAGTGTCCTTTTGAGGAAAGGCAGTACCTTAGCCTAATGACAAACTGTGGCTCTGCCATTTGCTAGTGGTGTGAATTGGGCAAGTTGCTTCCTGTCTCACTAGCTCCGTTTTCTCAGTGATAAATTGTGAGGATAAGAAACCAACTTGCAGGCATGCTGCAACTCAGTGGCCCCTCATTGGACATGTTGAATATTAGTAACCTCTCATCCCATGTGTATTACTCCAGTCATATAAAGAATATTGTTTTTCATTTTGGATGCTAATATTTTAGGGGGAAATCTTGAAACACTAAAAATTATGTGGAGGAAGTGGGATGCTTGCCCCGGAGAAGAGCGGGAATGTAAAAACCATCTTCACATATTTGAAAGACGGTCAGTAGATAGGGCAAGTTATTTTCAAGGAGCTAAGTGGGAACTCTAGAGTTGTTGAAAGGTAGATTTAATTCACTCCTTATTCTGTGCCATCTGTGTACCAGATCTAGGGGGTGAACAGAACAGATCTCAAAATTAATATAAAATTAATACAAGAATGAATGTTTGCCTAGCTGGTGTGGTTCAGTGGTTGAGCATTGACATATGAACCAGGAGGTCAGGGCACCTGCCCAAATTGTGGGCTCAATCCCCAGTAGGGGGCGTGCAAAAGGCAGCCGGTCAAGTATTTTCTCTCATCATTGATGTTTCTCTCTCCCTCCCCCTTCCTCTCTGAAATCAATAAAAAATATATATATATATTTTTTTTTAAAGAATTAATGTGAATACCAGTTATTGATACTCAGCAATGCTGTAGGCTGCCGGGTAAACTGTTACAGTTCCATTAATGAAAGTGGCCAAATGAAGGTTAGTGACTGACCAAATATTACTGTTTAGAGGGAATTTCTGTACTGTGTGAAAAATCAATTAATGACCTTTACTGCCATTTCCAACTTGTAAGTATCCATAATTCTAAATGTTTAAAACTGAATTTAACTTTTCATCATGTAAAGTGAAATATCAAAGGCACATTCTTGAAAGATGTTGCTAAAATGCCTTGACATGCTGCTTGTTTATGGAGAGATTTTTACTTTGTGGAGCTCATAAATCTCTCCGTCTTTCACAGTAATCATGAACTGCTAATGAGAAAATTTATGACTTTAGGGTCTTGTGAAAAAATAATGGAAGAGTAATAGGGAATGGGGTTATAGAACTGAAGTAAGAACTTTTCAAGGGGGTGGAATATTTAAAGGACTGTTTCCATTCTATCCACGTACATTTATTTTCACTGCATTTCCGTATCCGAGTGGGATTGGTTGCAGGACTTTCTGTGGATACCAAATTCCATGGATGCTCAAGTCCGTTATTATACGGCACAGACAATGTGTACAAATGTTTTAATTGGCTTTGGAGCTCAGCTTGGGGTTTTAACTGCCAATCAGTAATGTTTCTGTGGGAAATTTCGATCCAAAATCAGTACCATCTGTAATTCTAGATTGCTTCAATGATTGGGATTGCTTCACATGGGTATCCCTTTCCAACTTTCCTTCTCTTTCTCATAGGATCCTAACATTTTCAGAGAATCTTTTGAAAAGAACAAGTCTACTTCAATAAATGAAGGAGAATAAAGAAAATTCCAGCCCTTCAGTAACCTCAGCAAACCTGGACCACACAAAACCATGTTGGTACTGGGATAAGAAAGACTTGGCTCATACACCCTCTCAGCTAGAAGGACTTGACCCAGCCACTGAGGCCCGGTACCGCCGAGAGGGGGCTCGGTTCATCTTTGATGTGGGCACACGTTTGGGACTGTATCCTTATCTCTTTGGAATCTGTTTTAGGCTTCCCACTGCCAACACTGAGAATTAAATTAGATACTATTGATAAAACATAGTAATTGCCCTGACCGGTTTGGCTCAGTGGATGGAGCGTCGGCCTGCGGACTGAAGGGTCCCTGGTTCGATTCCGGTCAGGGGCATGTATCTTGGTTGCGGGCACATCCCCAGTGGGAGATGTGCAGGAGGCAGCTGATCGATGTTTCTCTCTCATCGATGTTCCTGACTCTCTATCCCTCTCCCTTCCTCTCTGTAAAAAATCAATAAAATATATTTTAAAAAAACAAAAAAAAAAACATAGTAATAGCTCCCAGTCAGTGTGGCTTAGTTGGTTGAGCACTGTCCCATGCACCAAGAGATCTCTGATTTGATTCCCGGGTTTCGGGCACAGTCGCCAGTAGGGGGCAGGAGGCAGCTGATAATGTTTCTCTCATTGATGTTTCTATCTCTCTCTCCCTCTAATCAATTTTTAAAAAGGAAATCTTACCTTAAATAGACATATAGTAATATCTCTGTACTAAAATCTTTGTTAACTAATGTTATTTCTGATTAGCTTGGCTCTTTGGGGGTTTTCGGTTTCCTATTTTTCATTTAAATGTGTAGACTTAGCCATTGAGCAAGTGGCCACCAGGAGGAAAACAGCCCCAGTGATCACAGTTGAAGGATGGTGAAGCCTGGCCTTGGTCATAGTGTAAACCCGCCTTGCTGGGGTGAATTCTGGTACAGATTCCCATATACCTGCTTTGCTACTGACGGTGTTTACCACTGACTTGCTTGCTGTTGTTTTAGTTTTTCCACATTTAACTAAAAACAATAACAATTTCTTGACTAAAGTCCTTAACCAGAACAACAGACACTATGATACCCTGGCAACTGGAATAATTTATTTTCATCGCTTCTATATGTTTCATTCCTTTAAGCAATTTCCAAGATATGTAAGTATTTACATTTTATTTTAATTCTCTATCACATGTAATTATTTCCACACAGTTCAGTGAACTAATTTAATCTATTTTTATATTTCCAGAAAGTAGTTATTTTTACATAGAACATACTATGTATAAACAAAATCAAGTTTGAACTTTGCGTGTGATTTTTTGTTAGTTTTTCATTTTTTTAATTAACCACATTCTGATCCTTTTATTTAGCCTGATATGGACACAGTCATATTGCACTTTGTGTGCAAGTTTACTTCCCTGTTACCTTTGCCAAGATAAATTTGGGCTTATAATTGAGACCCAAAAAAGGCCAAGAAGGAATAAAAATGTTTCAGGCCATATTGCTCATTCTGCAGTTGTTCCTTAAACATGCACTGTCTTCTGCTCTGTGGGAGACTCAGACAGGGAGCCTGCCTCAGTGCTTTTAGTCCTGAGGTGTGACGTACAAAATATATGGTAGAGGGGAGATCATAGGAGAGGTGCAGAAGGAAGGCTGCAGCTTCAAGGGAGAGATTAATGCATTGGGGAGGGATCAGGGAATATGCTAGGGAGGAGGTGCCAGCAGTAATTAAGCCCTGACCATAAATGTCAGATGGGACAGAGCAGTGATCCCGCAGAAACTAGCGTGGCAAAGACATGGAGGAACCATGTGGTGAGTACCAGCCCAGCTAGGAGGTTCATTGGGCAGGAATGGAATGGGGGCCCTGGGTGGAAAGGTAGACTGGGTCAGACCATTGTGAGCATTGAACTCCAGGCTCGGGCATTAGACTGCAATAGGTAAACTGAAGTGGTCGAAGAGTTTCATAAAGAAGATGACAGAATTAGACTTAACAGGAGGTCAGTCTGTTGGGGTTGTTCCTTTAGCTACGATTTTCCTTAGTTTTGTACACAAGTGCTAGAGGAAGGACACTGTTTCAGTCAGCCTTGTACCCCTGGCACAGAGTCTGACACCTGACGATGAGGATTCTGTGGAGGGTCACACATTCAGGAGAGATGAGAGTAGGCGGAGAAAAACTGGAGAGAGAGCAGTGAGACCACCTCAGTGATGTGGGAACTGGACCAGGTCCAGGCAGCGTGAAGGAAGGAAGGACAGCTGGGCACTGGCACAGACATGGACTCCACCAGACATGCGTTTAGCCGTGTTCTTTTTCTGGAACAAAGATCACAGTGTGAAAAGAAAATTTGTGTCTGTGGGTTTTTTCCCTTCTGGCATCTACTTTGTTTACATAACATGTTCTTTGGAAAATTAAATTTAAAATAATTTATGGGGCCAAATTGGGTGTGTGTGTGAAATTTCCTTTGAGCTCCTTGTGAATAAGAAAGGGGAAGTTAGGAGAGTGAAGGTCAAAAATGTTTGCTTGTGTTTCTGTATGAGCTTTGAGAACAGTATCTCTGGAACTTTTGTCTTCCTTTTAGGTAACAGGAGCTTGTTGTCTCTTTCTGGCTGGGAAAGTAGAAGAAACACCCAAAAAATGTAAAGATATCATCAAAACAGCTCGTAGTTTATTAAATGATGTACAATTTGGCCAGTTTGGAGATGACCCAAAGGTAAGAATCCTAACTGCCTGCCTTTAAATCTTGGTTCCTTGTGGTAGGTAGCATTAAGATGGAAGGTCCTGCCGGGCTGGTGTGGCTCAGTGGTCGACCTATGAACCTATTACGATTCGATTCCAGGTCAGGGCACATGGCCGGGGCGTGGGCTCGATCCCCAGTGAGGCATGTAGAAGGCAGCCGATCAGTGATGCTCAGCATTGATATTTCTCTCTCTCTCTCTCCCACTCCCTTCCTCTGTGAAATCAATAAATATATATATATCCTATATAATAAAATCCTGATATGCAAATAGACCAAACGGTGGAACGGCCGGCAGAACGACAGGTCCCTATGACACACACTGCCCCCCAAGAGGGAGGCGACCGGAGGCAGCAGCAATCGGGGCGGGGACAGCCAGCAAGCGCCCCGCTGGTCATCTCTCACAGAGGGAGGGGACTAGCAGCAGCAATTGGGAGGTGGTGCTGGCCAGCAGGCAGTGCCAGGCCACCAGCCAAAGCGGGTGCCAGCAGGGCCCCCCCCGATCGCCCCACCCACTGGTCGCCCCACAAATTGGCCCTGATTGCTGGCTAGGTCTAGGGATCCTACCCTATATATATATTGGGAACAGTGTCTTAGATTTAAAAATTGAAACCTGGCAAGGCTACTCTAACTAAAAAACAGGATGATTCAGCGATGACATGCATGGACTCTGGCTTGCACATTTTGTGGTCAGCCCTGATTCTGACACTTATAACTGTGACAAAGCCAATTGCTTTTCTCTGCTTCAGTTTTTCCACCCATAAGATGGGGAAATAGTACTACTGCCTCAGAAAGATCGTGTTATGTACTACTTTTTATAATTAGGGCAAAAAAAAAAATCTAGCTGCCCATACAACAGCAAGATGCCTTTCACCTGTATGAAAAGTATGGTCACTGGTGCGTGCAGCGTTCCAGATTGCGAGAGGGCAGGCCGGGCTGAGGGGACCCCCCCCCCACCTTGTGCATGAATTTCATGCACTGGGCCTCTAGTATATATAATAAATATATATATATTTATATATATATATGTATATATATATATACGTATATATATATTTATATATTTTTTTTTTTTGGAAGGATAGAGGTCCTTGCCCTAGTCAGTTTCTCAGTGGTTAGAGCATTGGCCCTTGGACTGAAGGGTCAGTGTTCAATTCTGGTCAAGGACATGTACCTAGGTTGCAGATTTGATCCCCAGCTCTTGTGTGGAGGCAACCAATCAATGTGTGTCTATCTCTTCGCCTCCCTTCCACTCTAAAAATCAATGGAAAAAAATATCCTTGGGTAAGGATAGTGCCAGTGCTCTGCGTACATGTATCTGCATTGCATGTGCTGTGTGTCTTTTGCTTCCCAAGAATGGTGGGAGGAATTGACATTTGCAGCTATTCTCAGACACCCAGAGATTGCTATTGGTTATACCACCCATCCTGTCTTTCCCCCACAACCCCTGCTCATGTCAGGAAATGGTGTTAAAATAATTACATACATGACTTAGTTATGTTCTAAAAACACCACTTTCAGCCCCGCTGGCATGGCTCAGTGGTTGAGAATCGACCTATGAATCAGGATGTCACGGTTTGATTCCTGGTCAGGATACATGCCCAGGTTGCAGGCTCAATCCTTAGTGGGGGATGTGCAGGAAGCAGCTAATCAATGATTCTCATCACTGATGTTTCTATCACTTTCTCCCTCTCCCTTTGAAATCAATAAAAATATATTTAAAAAATAATAAATAGAAAAGTTCACTTTTTAAATACTGATTTAGACCTGTGTCTAAAACTACAGCCCCGACACTTATTATTTTATTTTTAGGAAGAAGTAATGGTTCTGGAGAGAATCTTACTACAGACCATAAAGTTTGATTTACAGGTAGAGCATCCATACCAGTTCCTACTCAAATATGCAAAACAACTCAAAGGTAAGAAAAAGTTATTAAAAGAACTTTTTTATTCTGAAACCACGTCTTCATCATCGTTTGATGACACTGCGATTATGCTTAAAAGAGGAAAGCAGAAAATTCGGTGTGTGAAGTACCTGGGCTATAGCTTGCCTAGACAGTTCAATATTGTGGCTGTTAGTACTGTTTCCTTTTGTGTATAAACAGATTCTGTTATCCAGTTGCCAAGTGGTATGAGACAGGAAAATGAGTCAGAACTTTTTAAATAACCTAATAAATTCGGCCATGGAGCCAGGCTTCCCATAAACGGTGGCTCTCAGCATAGGGCATGTGGAGAGAACAGAGGTGGGGCTTGGACCCACTCGTTTGTCCTTGTCTCCCATGCGGAAGCTCTTCGCTGTGTATTGGAATGATGCTGAGGGTACCTGGGCTTTATATGAGTACTTGTTGCTTCTTGTGCTGCTGCTTTATTTTCTTTTCCTACTAATTTACCTTTCCCCCCTCCCCCCATTTCTAGGTGATAAAAACAAAATTCAAAAGTTGGTTCAAATGGCATGGACATTTGTAAATGACAGGTACATATACTCAAATGTTGATTTAATTACAGTTTTTTAACAAACTATAGAAATGATTCCTGAAAGTATAGTCTCTAATTATAGTGTTTTTAAATACCCAGGGACTTCATATGTCACTTTACCCAAACCCCTACTTTATATCAAGGAAACTGACTTGACCCAGCTTGAGGAGCCAGTGAAGGGCAGAGCTGGGGCCAAAGTCCAGGTCTCCTGTTCCCAGCAGAGGCAATACCCTGCCATGTCATGGTGATGCAGGATCCTAAAATCTTATCTCCAGTTTGAAACATAAATTTAAAACAATACCCCGGAGAGTTTGGACAACTAAGTACTGAGAACCCATTTGATTCTGCAAAAACACAAACACCATATGGTGTCATGGTTTTAGGTCCTTGATGTTCTAGAGCCCAGGGATCTAATGGGGAACAAAGTGCCTGTGAGTGGAGTTGTCGCTGTTGGGAGAAACAGTTTGAAGAACATAAATCATTTTCACTTATATTTCATGGCATGGCAATTTTTTAATGGGCTGGGATTCTGATTCTTTAAGGAACATTTTTTAAGTAACTGTGGGTAAAATAACTTATTTTTATACTTTTAGAGGACTCTGTATAATACTTTATTTGATGGTGTTTAGAGAAGGATAAGCAAATTGCCATTTAGATGCAGCATCTGACTTTCATGCATTGAGTTAATCACAAATGTTTGTTCATCCAAGTGAAGTCACCTCTTTTTCCTGTTGAACTAGTCTCTGCACGACCTTGTCACTGCAGTGGGAACCAGAGATCATAGCAGTGGCAGTGATGTATCTCGCGGGACGTTTGTGCAAATTTGAAATACAAGAATGGACCTCCAAACCCATGTATCGGAGATGGTGGGAGCAGTTTGTGCAAGATGTCCCTGTAGATGTTCTGGAAGGTACTGGGCATGCCAATCATTCTGTGAGGGTGTTCCATGTTGGGATGGTGCTGCCCTGAGAACGTGATTCCTGAACAGATTTCCCGATCGGTCTGCATAAACTTTTCTTCAGAAGCATATCTGTGATTAACATTTCAAATGTAATATCCACTCTTTCCAAGCAAATCGTTTTGGTGACCTGAAAATACCCACCAGTGCTGTGCACAGCAGAGGCAGGGTGAATTCCAAATAGGATTTTGACATGTTGGTCCTTGTATGAGAATCGTGGCTCAAAGGGAAATGGGCTGGCTTATTTTTCTAGGTAAAATTTTATTTCAAATATCCATCTGTGGTAAATGTAATTGTCACCTATCATTTAGATATCTGCCACCAAATCCTGGACCTTTACTCACAAGGAAAACAACAGATGCCTCATCACACGCCTCATCAGCTGCATCAGCCCCCATCGCTCAACCCTACACCACAAGTGCCACCAGTGCCACCGTCACAGTCGGCTCCAGGCCCTGAACCACCGCAGCCCCCACAGAAGGACCCGCAGCCATCAACCCAGCCGCCACCACCGCCACAGCAAGTCCAGCAGCCCAAGAAACCGTCCCCACAGCCTAGTCCCCCCCGCCAGGTGAAGCGAGCCACGGTGAGTGGCCAGATTGGCACTGGGCATGGCCAGCTTTCCCGGTGGCAGTGCCCCACCTGAGCACATTCCTATTTCTAAGGGATTTCACGGAACACTAAAAACCGCTATCAGACTGCATGTCTATGGGGAGCATGAAAACTTCTGTGGTCAGAGGAGAGGCTCTGTCCTCCCCAAGCTGCTGCTGCCTGTGTCACCTCCGACAGGGCCCTGAAACCTGCCAGAGTGTCGTTTCCGCCTCTGTACCCTGCTGGAATGGGTGTAACCAGGTCCCTCTGACCCTGTAGTGTTTGTATTGATTTTTTACAGAGAGGAAGGGAGAGGAATAGAGAGTCAGAAACATCGATGAGAGAAACATCGATCAGCTGCCTCCTGCACATCTCCCACTGGGGATGTGCCCACAACCCAGGCACATGCCCCTGACTGGAATCGAACCTGGGACCCTTCAGTCTGCAGGCCGACGCTCTATCCACTGAGCCAAACCGGTCAGGGCTGTAGTGTTTGTATCTTTAAGTGACAGTATTGGTAGAAATTTCTCCCAATGGTGGCAGCCCAGCATTTGCTGTTACTCAGTCCTTAGAAGAAGCCATGCAGGATATATAAGTATCAGCCAACTCTGCTGATCAAACAGGGCAGTGTGCTAGGGGCCTGAGACTCAGTGTTCAGAACTGAGACAAGGGAGTATTTCCGGACAGGGAAAGGGGAAGGAAGCAGAATGGTGCTCTGCAGGTGGCAGGTTTGCCCTGCAAGTTAAGCCAACATGGTTTTGTGTGAGGCCACATTCTGTCGCTGTGATTTTGTACCTGGTTCATCTGTTTTTCTCACTCTTCCTGGGTCTGGGTTAACGGTTGTGTTTTCTTTTGCAACAGGTTGTTTCTCCCAAAGAAGAGAACAAAGCAGCAGGTAATTTCCAGTTCTGTTTTTTAGTTTTATATGTCTGCTTATCAAAACTTTAAATTCTTAGTCAACATGGTTTCTTTTCTGATTAGATTGGCCTTAAAATTTAAAGACCCCATCACAAACTTGACCCACTCTGCCAGAAAACACATTGTCTTCTGCTTATCCCAACTCTATTTGTAGATTATATTTTGATGAAAGGTATCAATAACAATGTACTGAGTCGCATATATAAAATGTCATCATGAATGTAGGAGACCGGTTGCCACAATATATATTGTTAGAGATTAGTGGAGTGTGACACAGTAAAAACATGAAAAAAGTGAAGTGCCCTGGGTGTCCCCGTCCTGAACTCTGAGTGGCAGGATGGTGTGGAGAAAGGACTGCGTGGTGGGCAGGGTGTTGCCCAGAGAACCAACCACACGGCCAGCCCTGCTGCTGATGGCACCAGGCCTCTGTCAGACGCCTTTATATGGACACTGGAGGCCCAATGCACGAAATTCGTTCAAGGGGCTCAGCCCCGCCGCTGCCTCAACCTCCTCTGCCATGGCGGCTGCCTCTGCCTCAGTCCCCACCTCCCTCCCCTTCCCCCCTCCCCCCCTCCCACTGCTGCAGTTCATCCAGATGGTTATCCGGAAGGACGCCTGGCCTAATTAGCATATTATGCTTTTATTATTATAGATATGTAGTAGAGCCCAGAGTTGGTTAATTTGTTTCTGTGTTGGAAGCAAATAAAGAGTGAGCAAAATCTGAAAGATTACAGAAGAGAAAGTGAGAAGCATTTTGTGTGTCATTGGCCCTGTTGTGCTGAGCTCTTTGAAGCACAGTGTCCACTTGTCTCTGTTTCTCTGTTGCTTAGTTCCATGGTAGGACCTCAGGGAATTATCTATGGTACTGTTGTCGAGATCTTCAAGTTAGAGTAAAGCTACGAGTTTTGCAGTATCTTTGGGGGAATGATGAGTTCAGTACAGGTAAATTTTTTTTAGTTCTGAATGAGCAAAAAGTGTGAGACACCAAAAAGCAGTTATATACCGTCATCCTGAGCTGATTGCAGCATCTGTTGGAGAGGTAGAGACAGCCAGTGGTGACCTTGGAGAAGAACTAGAGCTGAGAGCGGAGAGCCTGTAGGTCGAAGGAGGCAGGTGAGCAAAGGAATTGGAAGTAAATGGAGAGAGGAGTTTCCTGGAACAGGAAGAGCTGAAAGGGCATCACTTCTGAGAGGACTGAAATGTGGTTGGAGTGGGTGACAGCACCTACCCACTTGGAGGGACCGATTTTGCATAGGCAGTGGCAGCCATGGGAGGTTGGTTAGCAGGAGCATGGCAAAGCCTGAGTTCATTTTAGAAAGTTTCCTGGCAGTAGTAATAGCACCGATGGTTGGGAATGGGAAGGACTTTGCCAGCATCTGGGTGAGACCTGGTGAGAGAAGAGTCAGAATGATGGCCAGAGGCCCAGGAAGGGAGGGTCAGACAGCCTGGAGGTGAGATCTGACTGAGCAGAACAGTACGTGCAAGTAGCTACAGAGGACTGACAGTGTGGCCCACTCCAATGGCCTGGTACCCTCAGTGCAAGTATACACCAGATTTCTGAGAGTTAGTAAGAAAAAGGAATGTAACTCTGGCCAGTGGCTCAATTGGTTGGGGCATCGTCCCGTACACCAAATGGCTACGGGTTCAGTTCCCAGGTAGGGCACATACCAGTATCTAGGTTTCTGGTTCAATCCCCAGTTGGGGCATATACAGGAGCCAACCAATCAATGTTTCTCACATCCATGTTTTTTTCTCTTCTCCCCCCCCCCCCCCAAAAAAAAGAATGCAGAGAATCTTATTAGTCAATTGTATGTTGCTTATACATTGAAATGATCAATTTTTTAATATATCAAGTTAAATATTAAAATTAATTTTAACTGTTCTGAACATGGCTGCTAGAAAACTAAAAATTACATGGGTGGCTCTTTTGATATTTCTGTTGGACAGCTTTAGCTTGGCTGGCGGTGGGGAGGAGGTTGGAGGGAGAGCTTAGGTGAGAGGGATACCCGTCAGGAGATGGAGGAACAGGCTGCCTGCGAGGTGCTGGCTGCTGGATCTAGGGATGGGACTTGAAAGTCAGGTCCCCGGTTTTGGAGGTGAGATAGAAGCTAGAGACGTCGATTCATCCCCCTGATGATAAAGGGAGAGATCTCCCCACACCTTGACTCCAGCCTAAGTCTGAGAGAGGAAACCAAGAAAGTGATCAGCAGTACCGGGGCAGAGTCAGATCAGTGATGTGCACGCCGGATGAAGTGAGTTTCGGAAAGGGCCAAAACATACAAACAAAAAGATGGCGTTCTTTTTCCATCCTGTGTGCGCACCTCTACCTTTCTAAACAGAAGCGATTGGACTTGCTGTAGCCTTATCTGTGCGATTCAGTGTCCTCACTGGGGATGCGGGTCACATGCAGGTGTTCGACCCTGAAGGGTGGGCTGTGTCCTCTGCCCCAAGTGGCCCCAACTTCTTGGCTTAAGCAAGTGCACTTAAGGTCGCTCTCCTCCAGTTCTCCAGTGGTGACTTCTAAGGAGATGCCAAATGGAGCAAATATTTGTGAGAGAAAATAAACTGGAAATGCAACTAAACAAGAGTTAAAAGGTAGTGGTTTCCTGTGAGCATTTGGGGTCTTTCTGTGTGTTCTGTGTGTTAGCAAGTCACACCGGTCACAGAAGTGGTTTTGTGCTGCTCTCAAGTTGTTGGAAGGGCTTGCTTTGTGGAAAAGGGGATAGTGGGTTAGTTTCCTTTTTAGAGGGGAGGTAGGAGATCAGAGTTGTATTTGTTTTTTTTCTTTTAAAAGGATTAGTACATGATGATTCATTTTATTATTTTATTTTAGATTTTTTTCTTGATTTTTAGAGAGAGGAAGGGAGAAAGAAACATTGATTGGCTGCCTCCTGCACTCCCCCTACCAGGAATCGAGCCTGCAACCTGGTCATGTGCCCTGGCTGGGAATTGAACTGTGGCCTCTCAATTCATGGGACAACGCTCAACCAATGATCCAGGGCATGCTGATATAGCTGAGGCCTTCCTCAAGTACCCTTAAAACGTTCTTATCTGCTCTTTTTCCCCAAAGAAATTCCTGAACAGTCCGTTTTATTTTTACTATAATATGTTTATTACATGAAGAGATATGAGTGCTTTTTTAATCTTTTTCTTCGTAGAACCACCACCACCTAAAATTCCCAAAATAGAGACCACTCACCCTCCATTGCCTCCGGCCCACCCACCACCAGGTCAGTGTCTGCTGAGAGCCGTGGGGTGCCAGCTTTTCTCTCTACATTTTTGAAGGGCAGACTTGGGAGGTCTAAGGGAAAGTTTATAGAAGGGAGACTTTGCAGCCAAAATGTTAAAACAGTAACGACCAAGGATCTTTCAGAAAACTTTTACACAGATGTTTTGAGGATGTTGTAAATTCTAAGTATATTTGGTCACATCCAGAAATGCAGAACTACCCAGGAAAAGTGAGTTTAGAATCAATTTTAGGAAAACAGCCCTGCCAGTGTGTGAACATTGCCCACATCTGGGCAGGTTGCTGTAGATCTCAAACAGACTCTGGTGCTGTGATGGAGTGGGGGTAGGGTCTGTGGAGCTGCTGGGCACTGACTCGTCTCTCCACTGCAGACCGGAAGCCTCCCCTCGCGGCTGCCTTAGGCGAGGCTGAGCCACCAGGCCCTGTGGATGCCAGTGACCTCCCCAAAGTCCAGATTCCTCCTCCGGCCCACCCGGCCCCTGTGCACCAGCCACCACCGCTGCCACACAGGCCACCGCCACCGCCACCCTCCAGCTACATAACCGGGATGTCCACCACCAGCTCCTACATGTCTGGAGAGGGTTACCAGAGCCTGCAGTCCATGATGAAGACCGAGGGCCCCTCCTACAGCGCCCTGCCCCCTGCCTACGGGCCTCCAGCCCACCTGCCCTACCACCATGTCTACCCACCCAACCCACCCCCACCACCGGTGCCCCCTCCCCCAGCCTCCTTCCCTCCACCTGCCATCCCACCCCCAACTCCCGGGTACCCTCCACCTCCACCCACCTACAACCCCAACTTCCCGCCCCCACCCCCACGCTTGCCCCCCACCCATGCCGTTCCACCTCACCCTCCTCCAGGCCTGGGCCTGCCTCCAGCTAGCTACCCACCTCCATCTGTCCCCCCTGGAGGACAGCCACCTGTGCCCCCACCCATCCCCCCACCGGGCATGCCTCCAGTCGGGGGCCTGGGGCGCGCAGCCTGGATGAGATAACCTGATGCCTTTTTTTCCCCTTTGTTTTTTTAACAAGTTTTTCTAGTTACCTTGAAGGGTAGTTGAAGTGAGGAAGCAGCAGGGTACCTGTATAATGCTGGGCAGTTGCAGTATGGGAAGACATGGACCAGGCCCGGGAGATGGATCAGATGGTCCTCCAGGCCCGGAGTGGGGACAGCCCCGGCAGTGCCCAGGCCGCCCGGCTGTGCTGGTGTCGGCTGAGGGCCGCGTCCTGCACTGGGTGACTATACTAGTGAAAATGTTAACCAGCCATATTGGCTCAATAAATAGCTTCCGTAAGGAGTGAATTTCCTTCTAGAAATCAGTGCCTATTTTTCCTGGATACGCAGTTTTAAACAGTCCAGTTCCATCTGAAGTCAAGCTGTCGTCATCACTTCCATTCCGTGTTCTCTTCCATGACACCCAGTCGCTCAGAAGAAGCTTTTTGATTTAGAGATATTTACATCTTTGTATTAAAGTTATTTTGAAGGGGTTGCCTGGTTGGATGGCTTTTTTCTCTTTCCTCTGGGAAGAAGGGGAGGAATGTACTTGGGAAGTAATGTATGTATACATTGATCTGCAAGTTCCTGTACATAGATATTTTTTAAGTGTGAATGTAACAACATACTGTGACTTCCATCTTGGTTACACAGGAGACTCCTTCAGTCAGTTATCCAAATAAAAGCAGTTCTGAAACTCTGTTACTGACAGAGCTTGGGGCCTGCAGTAGGCCCCGGGTGTGATCGCCCTCTGGACCCCAGAGGGCCTCGCTGCCCACTAAGCCTCACCCACATCTCCTGGCAGCACCCTCACGGGCCAGCCTCTGAGGTTCCTAGGTTAGGTGAGGGTTTGAATTTGAAATCCTTTCCATTTCTGGCTTAAGGAGTAGGCAGAGGCCCCTTGAGTAGCAGTTAGTGGCCCAAATGGGGCTGCTGTGTGCTGGCTGCAGCCCCACCTGAAATGCTCCCAGGGCCATGGCCCTCTGCCCAACGAGCCATCGCCTGAGACAAACGCACTGCACACCACCACGGAGGCTTGCAAAGAGCCTTTATTTATCTAGCGCAAAGTATACACTGTCACAGTCTTCTCTGTTACCTTTTACTAAAATAGTTCAATGTTTTTACCACACTATCAAAAAGTTCTATTTCTTTTTCTCTCCCCAAATCAAAGTGGTTCAATAGAAGGTAGAAATGGACCGAGCCGGGCAGGGCAGGGCTGGCCATTCTCAGGAGGTCACGTCCTACAGAAGACAGAGCATGGCTGCGGCCCGGGGACGGGAACCAGACGTTCCGCCAGGTCCAGAGAGCAGCCCAGCCTCCCACATTACGAAAATATACACCTCTACCGCTCCGCAGTCATGCACTGTTTCTTTAAAAAAAAAAAAAAAATCAGTAGTATTTTGTTTCCTCTCAAGTTTTCAAGAAAAAAAAGGTCACTTTTTCTCTTTAAACACTGATGTGTAGCTAATCACTTCTAGATAAAAACGCACCACCCTGAAGAGTGGCCAGCAGATGGCGATCCCAGGATAGGCCTGGCCCCCGGGGGGAGGCTGAGGGTGGGCTCCGTCACAGTGGGAACAGGCCACAGCGCAGGCGTCCCCGTGCCTGCGGGATCTAGAAGCAGAGGGTTTGGAAAGCAAAGGGGCCTTTATGAAAGGACACCCAGGTCAGCACACCCCTCCCACCCTGAGCTCAAAGCTGAGGCTCCAGGGGCGGACAGTCACCTAGTGTCACCTACACACGCGTTAGTGGCAGAGCTGGCACCCCCCTGGCTGCCCCGGTAGGGAAGCCCACCGGAGCCCCCCAGCTTGTGAGCTCCCCTGCAACTGCGAACGACCCAGTGGGGTCAGGCAGCGCTGCTCTGCTGCTGGCTTTTCTAACGGCATATTATGTTGGGAGATGGCTGTCACAGGTGCAGTTCCATCCCTGAAAGCCGTCCTACACAGGGTTGGTTCAGGGACAGGCAGGAAGGTCTCCACGGACCGCTTCACCTCCTCCCTGGACACCTCCGCAGTCGGGGACAGGGTCCCTTCCCTGTGAAGCTGTCCCCAGGCTGCTGTGCAGCGTCTGCAGGTACCAGGAGGCCTTCCTTATTGCTTATTTTCAGTCGTGGCAAAGCCAACCTGATCCAAACATGGCAAATGGGCTCCCAGACATGGAGCCCACCCAGATGGCCCCTTCCCCCTCGGCTGCTTGTGGTTCTTTGGACTCCACGATCAGAGAGGGGCCTCTGACCCCAGCTGGCGGCCCCCTGGTGCAGGAGTCACCCACCACCATGTGACAGGGAGCTCCCGTCTGACCTGATGGAAGGGCCTTCGAAAGCCCACGGCTCCCAGTAATGCCCAGGGCAGCACCCCCTCACACCCCCGGGTACAAGGAGGACCGAGAGTCTTTGCCCTGACTGTACAACCCAAGGGCGCCAATGGCAGGTGACGGTAGGAACTGCCCGGTCCTGGTTCCCGTCCCTCACATGGGCCTGGACGAGGCTGCCTGATGCAAAGATGGCCTCAGGCTCTTCGGTACCGGCCACACAAGGCCGCGGGCAGCCCTCAGGTCCTGGGAGTCCGAGGATGGATGAGCTGATGGGGGGAGTGGACAGGGCCTTGCAACCGCATTGACAGTGTGGCCTGGCCGGCCTGCCAAGTTCTGGAGCCTCACCTGTCATGCCACCGACCGCCTACCCCCTCTGTGCCTCATTTTCCTCACATGAATGTGAAAACGTACATACTGCACTTTACAGCTGCTACATGGTCATTTACACTGATGGTCTCATTGGACCCCCAGAGCCCTGCAAGGGGACCCTCATGCTCCCATGCTCCCTCGGAGGACACAGGCTCAGAGAGGAGAGGGACTGTCCCCTGGAGGAGGCAGCGAAGCAGCAGAACTCAGCTCAGGCCTCACCCCCAGCCCGGCCCCAGCAGCCTCTCCAGCAGGTGACCATCGGCTCACATGCTAGGAGCACAGCTGACTACAGTGATGGCCTCTACCATGAGCCCGGCTAAGAGGCCTGAGACCTCACTTTGCACCACAGGCCTAAAGGGGCTGAGTGACTTGCTGAAGGTCACACAGCAAATTAAAGCCAGAGCCAGGTCAGGCTCCTTCCGAGGGGGACAGAACTCCTGTCACTGCAGCCATGTGGCTCTGTCCACAGTGACTGAGGATGGGGCCAGGTTCCAGGGGGGACACCACAGTGGACCGGAGGCCTAGCCATGACCCAGTGCTACCCATCCGGAGAGGGGGACACGTGGGGCTCGGCCGGGGACTCTGCATTCAGTCTCCTTCCTGTGTTCCTGGCCCAGAGTGAACCATGGAAGCGGAGATGCCCAGGCACTGGGTAGGAGGGTCCCCAAAATATAGGGCACACCTGGCACAGGGCAGGGTGACACTGGGGGGAGAGGGGAGGGGTGGATTCTAAAAACAGGTGGCAGCTGGCAGAAGAGGGCTGGGCACAGGCCAGAGGAAGGGCCTGGGGAGCTCCCCTGCCCGTGGCTCTCGGGACTCAGTGCTTGGGGAGCCAGTGTTCAAGTCACAGCGGGTGGATGGGAAGGGGTGCCCCTGCACCGGGTCCAGCTGCCAGTGGCCTTTGTCCAGTGCGGTGGCAGCCAGCAGATGGAGGGCTTGGTGAGGTGCTGGGCGCAGCCTGGCATGGTCCCTGGGCTGGGCAGCTCAGAGCAGCCTTCCGTTCTCGCACAGCGAGCCCGAAGCCTGGCCCAGAGTGGGAACGGGCCGTCCAGGCTGCTGTGCTGCGGGGACAGCCAGCGTCTCGCCTCCCAGTTTGCTGGTGTGAGATGTGGGAGATGGAGGCCCGGACAGCAGGGGCCACACCCATGGCTGCCGAGCCACAGCAGGCAGCATCCTATGTACAATTCATCACAGAAGAAGAAGACAGTGGCTCGGCCGGAAGGCCTGCCACTCCCCTGGGGGGATCCCAGGCAGGGACAGTCCACGTCCACGGAGGAGAGGCCTACAAAGGCCCCTTGAACTGGTTCCCAGACAGGTGCTGCCGGATGGAGGGCTTGGAGCTGGCGGCGTCTCCCAGCTTTCTCCAGACCACCTGTGGGGAGAGGCGAGATGTGACGGCAGGGCCACCCCAAGCCCGCCAGCTGGCCTGTGCACACATCCCAGAGCCATGGGCCAGGGGGGGAAACTGAGGCCACATAAAGCTCGGAAACACTCAGGCCAGGTCTTTGCATGCCCATCCTCATGGCCATACCTGCCATCCTGAGCAGGTCACCACTAGGGAGTGGGCTCGGCCTCGCAGCTGTCCAGTGGGGCCCATGGACTCAGAAGGCAGCATAGGAGGGGGTTCAGAACACCCCACTCCATCGGAGACCCCAGTTCAGCCCCTGCGAACCACCCTTCCCTCTGGCTCCTTCAAGGGTCCAGAGAGGACCCATGTTGATGAGGTGGGTCAGGTGCAGCCAGCTTCCAGAACAAAGGCAGCCCCAGCCCTGCAGGCCCACAGAATGGGGGTGCCACCTGCACCTCGGGCTAAGCACCAGCAGTCACCAGGGCCACCACCCAGCTGGGAGGCCAGGAGCCAGACACCTGGGACCGAGGCTGAGGGGCGGGACATGAGGGGTAAACAAGAACAGTCCTGGGGGCCAGAGGCACATTCCCAGGATGGACAGACCCTGAGATCAAGGACCCCATTCATTCTCGGGGTGGGGGTAGGGATAAGGCCAGGCCAGCTCTCCCAGGCTCCAGTGCCTCCAGCCAGCCCTCCAGATCACCATCCTTTCCCCCGGGGAAGGTTGCAACTCCCAGTGTCCGGCCAGGACGCCCCCCAACCCTGGCCCGGGAAGCGCCTCACGTTGCACATCTCGCGGACAATGGCCTTCTCCTTCTCACTCAGGTCCTCCTCGCAGCTGTCCTGGAGCTGCCGGTCCAGGTTCTCGTGCACCTCCAGGACCTGCGGGGAACAGGGCCCGGGTCAGGGGTGTGGAGACCTGAGGGGCAGGCCGTCCCTCCTCACTGTGTCCTCTCCCCTCACCCAGTGACACTGCACCCACCACACAAGGGAAGCCGCACCCCTTTCACTGGGGGCCAAGCTGAGGAGGGGTCGGTCACCTGGGGGCAGGGCCGCCCTCCGACAGGTGGACTCGCTCTGACCAGGGCCCAGCTTGTGACTAATGAGCAGGAGAACCGAGGACACCTCCACTCATGCACATGGGGTGTGCACACGTGTACACATGGCAACTGTGGCACATGCATGCAGGGGGCGGGGGGGGGGATGGGGAGGGGATGAGGGGCACAGGAGGGGGAGATGTGCTTCTGGAGGCAGGAGCGTGTCTTCAGGACCTGCAGCTGGCGGCCCTGAGCAGGGGGGCCCTGCACCTGAGCAGCGGCTGGGCCTGGGAGGCCTGGCTTTTGCTCCTACCTAGCCCATCCTGCCATGACTCCAACCTTGAGGGAGTGCCTGCCCTCCCTCACCCCCAGGCCTCAGTTTCCCCAGTTGCAGGGATGGCAGACAGGTGACACACTTGCTATCGGCA